CCCCCCCCCCCCCCTTGTCATATTAAATGAACTTTCCCTAATATCAAAATAGTACAAAATCATCATAAAAAGCAAGAAACAAAATTAATATATTCATACACCAATATGTAAAACAGCTGTAAAAAGGAGATCATAGCATTTAATATTCATAGTAATCAATAATGAACCTCTGTCAAGCTGCCATTAAGTAGCCATCCTCTATTTTTTGACAATTTGTTGAGTGCACAAGTGAAGTGAGGGTGTAGCAACGAGCATGAAGGACAGGAAGTTGGCAAGAGTCAAGTTTCTTCTAAATTTTCAGCCGCTGCTACAATCGCTACTTTCGAGATAAATGGCTGAAGATTTAAACAGGTTACCTATTGTAAGTTTATATGCTTCTTCAGTTCCTGCTCAAATCACTTTTTTCAAAAAAGAATGGTTTTCACATTTAATTTGCAGAAAGTATATCATGTGGCCTATTAAGGCCTATTAGATAGACATCATCATCATTTGTTTTTTGCGGCAACCCCCAAGGCAAACAGCTCACTAATCTTTGGGTTTCCTGTGCTTCCTTGGGTGTCCTGTCTCTAGGTGTTAGATTTACGTTTGTCAGAAGCATTTTTAGCAAGTTTTTTCAGTGGTTTCATGATAACCAAACTCTAAAATGTAGCACTCTTATTGCATAATTCATACTTTGTGGCCCACCCATGCAAACAGTTTCAAATTATTTTATTATCAGGGCTCAAAAATGGTGAATTCCAGCTTTTTAGCCAAGCAGTAATCACATTTTGCTTGCCCGTGGCCACTTCTTGCTCATCTTAGTACATGATTTTGTTAGAGGATAAAATGCTTGACCATTGCCCATTGCACAAGTGAGCTTGAAAAGTTACTGTCCCTGCAAGAAAATAAACTTGTCCTATCCTACGAGATGGAACTTTTTTGGAGCCCTGCATATGATTGTAAACTGGCCAATAAAGACCCAAATCACAAAGAACTTGTGATTGTAAGACCCCTTGTAGTCCTTAATCCAACAACTATCAATAATGGCCTAGTCAGGCTCTGTAATATGTAGAATTTGTATGTCAGTTCATCGTTTCTGAGATGATGATTACGGCCCAGTATATGCTTGAAGCATTATGCTATAATTATATGTAACCTTAAGATAGTTTTTTATGCTGTTTTGAATGGGAGTGACAGACTCTACCAAACATTTAATGTCGGGAAGGATCTTGGAAAAGTTTATGCTGCATCCTTGCTTTTTTCTTCCTCTTCAACAGATTTATCTAAACTCTCTTGTTCCTCAGAGTCTTGCATTTTTTGGTTTAAACAGTCATTAATTTGACCAATTAAGTCAGCACTAATACCAGTCTCTGTCAGAACAAGTTCCACCATTCTTGTCGGATAATTAGCAAGGACGGTGAAAAACATCTCTCCACCTTTTTCACCGATGTTACAACCCTCCAAGTCGACTCTTTCTAACGTTGAACTGGCTGCTAGTGCAACTGAAAGCACACGAGCTTCATTATCACCAATGTTGTTGTAGTCAGGGTAAAGGAAGCACAGCTGTGAATTGGCAGCTATGGCAATGGCAAGCTGTGTCCAGCCCTGGGGTGAAATACTTGGGTTAGCTGACAGTGTGAGGTCCATTAAACCTTGCCTTCCTTCACTTGGAGGAAGGAGTGTGCATATTTGTCTTATGCCCTCATCTCCTAACTGACAATCACCAAAGTCCAATGACTGGAGTTTAGGATGGGCTTGTAGTGCAGGCATAAGGCATTCCAGACCTTCATCACCAAGAGATGTACCATGTAAGCTACAACAAAATTTTATTGATATAAATTATTCAAGATCATGCAGCTTTACTAGCATACACTGAAGACCATGCACTGACTGGAGCTCATTATAGTTCAGTAAATAATGGAGGGGTGCAAGGAATCTTAAGGCCTTATCATGACTTTGGATGTACTGTCAAAATTCCCCATTTGTTTTACAAGCAATTAAAAGGCGATTTGGAAGGAGAATCTAGGGTGCATTTTTCGTTTTTGCTTTTGGGTGCTTTTTTCTATTATTATGTTTATACCCAACAACTGGAACAACTCTTTGGGTCTTAAGATACACACTTAATTTGCACTTAGCATGAAGGCAATACCATTGCCGCGTACTAACCATTACAAAAATAGCTTTGCCTATAGTGGTACAGTCCTCTGGAACAGTCTACCCTCAGCTGCTAGGCAAGCAACATCTCTGACTAATTTCCGACGATTCTTAATTAATTCCGACATGGTATTCATGTAAAACAGGCTTTAATTTAATTTACTTTTCCTTAATATTTAGCAATATTTTAAATTATAGAATATTAATCTGTATACATAGTTTCGTATTTAAGTTGTAGCTTTATATTAAATTGTTAATGCCTGATGTATTTACCGTGTTTTTAAATAAAGATGATGATGATGATGATGATGATGATGATGAGGAGGAGGAGGCGTGTGTGCCTGGGTGAGGGGGGGGGTACTTTAGGAATTTCTGGGTGGGGATGTGCCGCTGAGCTCCTGGAGACCTTAACCTATACCAGAGCTAGTTCAGCTAAATTTTGCTACCCTACACTGTATACTAGAGTAAACGCCCCAAATGCCCCCTATCCTAGAGTAGCTGTTTTAAAGAAACTACTGAGGTCACTAGCACAGTCTAGCCAAAACAAAACCTTATACCACAATCCCTAGTCTAGATAAAATCTTCAACCAACTGATCAGTTTCCT